ATTTGGTCAAAACCATAATCTTTCATCAACCTTTTGTGTTAGAGTCTGCATCCACCATCGGGGCTGCTCTACAGTATCTACAATGAAAACAATGCACCATCAGAATAATGAAAATGGATGGGGAGCCAAATGTTTAATAATCTGCATCCTCCACTACAAAAACTACAAGGTACGATGTAGCATGCAGAACATTTTGACTGATATAGGATGTGAAGCAACAAGAAAACCACTTCCTGCAGCTACAATACCAGCCAGTTCACAATACTATGTTATGCTTGACTTGGTTTCAGCACCCAGCAGTGTGTGTGACTAGACTGACACTGACCTTTAAATACAAATTTGGATAAAGACTGCTCAGTGTGGTCCACCTCTGACACAAGATAAACCTTTCTTACAAAAATAAAGCACAACATAGATGTATCCTCTATATAATACTGATCCCAGAATACACTGGGTGAAACCAGGTTGTTCTTGGCTGACCCATGAGGTAATATAAAGTCAGTTTATTAAACTCCTTCCTCTGACCTTAACATCCATTATCAAAGATCACTAAAATAATGCTGCTGTGCTGCTTGATTTGGTTGTTTTGGCTGCATGTAAATGTTAAAACCGTTTGGTGTGTGGGTAGACTTATAGTACAGACCAAAGTAACATCAACAGACATGTACAGTACAACAGCTCCAGCAGTGTTAATGCCTCCGCAGTCACAAACACATCATCAGAAACTTTATACGACACAAAACACATTTTACCAACAGCACTTACAACAAACTTTGTTTGTAATAAATCCAGACTACTTTTCATAGGTTTCAACCAGGGAGCAACTACCACAGCTGGAAGTTCCATTAGGTGCAATGCCACAGACGACTGCTAGATGCTGATTCTGAAAAACCCTGGCTCCAATTCACTCACATTCAAAAAGGGTTTTTTTTTCCTCAAAGGTTTAATTTCAGTGAGCAAGACTGTGGAGTTGGACTAATGCACTTTATAGCAATCCTTCATAACACTTAGGAAAAAGAGAATCGATTTCTCAATGAGTTCTTTATTAAATTAATGTACTGTATACATGATACATGAGAGGCACATTCTGGGAAAATGCCTTCCCTTAACACTCAGTAGACCCCCCATAGATACACCTCTTTTGTCTGCGTATCAAATACGGTGAAAGCGACTGTACATCCAGTTAACTCCACTACTGCCCAATGCAGTCACCAACACATTTAAGTGTAAAGATAAGACATTAGATTATAAGAAATATGCTACTAGAAAGAAGTTCCCCTCAGTCCTATAGACTGCCTTTGATTTGATTTGATTTATTCTTTCAACACACATACACATAATCCAATATCAATTTGCTTATACCTAGTACATGCTTGAATGGAGTAGGAAGAAGTCAGACTTATCCAGTCCTACCCCATGACATCATCTTACCATCATTGGTTTGCAAGCAGTAAATGATTCACTTCTACGCACACAAGTATTATACTAAAAAAAAATAACAGTGTTAACATTCTTACATAATTACATTCTTAAATAATTATCTTCTACACCACACAAGTAATATACTAAAGAATTATTACAAAGTGTTAACATTCATACACCACACCCACAATGTTAATTAATCATTGAGCCTGTTCTTGCATATATCTTGATTGACACATACCTTTATATTTATGTTTAAACTCG